TATACATATACATACATATATGCACGGGGTCCCAGTGATTGCTGGACATGGGCACCGGCAAACCCCGTGACCCAAAATGGAAGAAGCGGGTTAAAGAACACCCGGGGGTCCGGGGACCCTAGTTTGAGAACAACTGCTTTATAGAAATGTTAGGCCTCATTTTTTATGTTGTTTATTTCCATGTTTATGCTTCGACATTTTTTCTCAAATCAACCACAACCTCAAAACATATTTAGCTGAGCCATTTAGTTGTATACGAATCAGATGTTTATTTTTTCGAAGATTGAGTTAATCTGTTTTCTCAGAATGGGGAGAGATGCAGAACATCACCACCACACGAGAGCAGGTGGAGCTGCGAGGGCTCGAGAAGTTCACCAACTACAGCGTCCAGGTCTTGGCCTTCACGCAGGCCGGAGACGGGGTCCGCAGCAATGTTCTGTACATCCAAACCCGCGAGGATCGTGAGTACTCAGCGTTTGATTCATTCATTTAAATATATTTAAGTGCTGGCAGCATAAAGAGATGCTGAACGAGAGGCAGATGACAAGAAAAAATCCCTCTATCTCAGACTTTTAACAAAAGCTCATTTATGTTGGGGAGATCCATTAGCAGCGCTAATGAGAATTAAGAGGCTTTGGGTCCACAGCTCAGGGCTGAGGGGGGACTGGTGGAGTGGGGAGACTGTGGAGGGGGTCTGCTCTCTCAGTGCATCCAGAAGTCAGCTGTCAGCCGGAGCTTGCATCCTCTTCAGCAGCTCTTTTGCCACAGGCATGGGGATTAACTCCTCACGGATTAAAGAGAATTAATTTTGTGCTTACACCATTGGAGGCAGGATTACAGTCAGATCTATGTCTCTTTATGGAGGAGGAGGAGGGGCCTAAAGGGTTAAATATGCGAAGATGGAAAAGTGAACACACGCTGTTATCTTGACTGACAACAGTTAAGGCGTTAGGAAATGTTATAAAGATCACACGGACGTTTTATTTACCGTATTTTCCACACTATACGTCGCTCCGGAGTAAGGGTCGCATCGTCAAAAAATGTCACATGAAGAGGAAAAAAAAACATATACGAGTCGCTTCGGACTATAAGTCACATTTATTATGCGTCACCACTGACCCCTGGGAAACATGGGCCTGTGTCATGCCAATAATCGATTGGCGGCCGCGGGAGCGCACATGAGAGGACTCTCTGTTGCAGTTCTTCGAAATTTAACAAGATTAACACCTAAAAACAATTTTTTTTTTTTTTGCTCTCAGTTGAACTTTTCCTTAATAAATGCACTTTAATTGTCAAAACAGCTTCATTTTTGCCTGGGCGGCGCCGTCGCGTCGCACTGAGAACAGTCCATCCCGATTGGCAGTCGTGCCCCGTCCCTCCGCTGCCGGAGCTTGGAGGAAGGGGCAGCGAGGCACATGGACGCTGTAGAGCCACCTTCGTCCCCAGACTCTTCCAGACTGACCCAGAGCCTGTCGTGGCGCACCGCGGCGGAGGCAATGCGCCCGGCGGGAGCAGCCAGACATGTCAGTATGTATGAACATTTAGCATCAGGCAAAAATCGCGCCATGAATAGGAAAAAAAAACGTATATAAGTCGCTTCGGACTATACGTCACATGACTGGCCAAACTATGAAAGAAACTGCGACTTATAGTCCGAAGAATATGATACTTTGAAACAAGGACAGCAGGAGGGTTAAACTGACAAACTGTGCCACATAATAAAAATAAAGGAATTCATGTTTTATGGCAGCAACATATCTCAAAACAGACGGGACAAAACCAAAAGAAAGACGGAACAAAAAGCTGTAAAAGTAAGTGGTACAAATAAGAACCAGTGGGAGGAGCATCTTGCAACGACGTGGATGTGGATTCATAACGTGCTTCTTCTCCTGGACACCACTGCTGGGCTCACTTCCACAGATCAGTGTAAACACAGTTCACCATGCCACCCACAAAAGCTCTATCAGGCAAAGAAGAAGCCATAAGTAGTCAACAGCCAGAAACAGTCATCCGTTTGAAAACTGTTCTGTAATCAGACAAATCAACATTTGAAATTATTTTTGTGAACCATTAACACCACATCCTCCATACTAAAGAGCAGAGGGACCATTCGGCCTGTTAGCTGCACACAGTTCAAAACTCTGCCTCTCTAATGGTAGGGGGGTGCATTAGTACCTCTAACATGGGCAGCTTGCACATCTGGAAAAGTTCAACCAATTCACAAAAGTATCTACAGGTTTTAGAACCTCTGTGGATGCTGCATATTTCAGGGTAGGCGTTGCATATTTGAGCAAGAGAATGCTGAACTGCATCCACGGTGTCAGAGAAGAGGAGTCTGGGTGCTGAACTGGTCTGTCTGCAGTCCAAACCTCTCACCAGTTGAAAACATCTGGAGCACCATGACATGAAAAATCCAGCAAAGACCCAGAACGAGCGGTTGAACAGCTAGAATCCTCCCGTCAGCCCGGAACGGACCACATTCCCCTCCAAAAGAAGAGAGGAAGCTTTGTCCCGACAATTTAGAAATGTGTTGCTGCCTTCAAATCCAAAAATACCAGTTTAGTTTAAACATTTACGATGTTCCATTGTGGAAAAATGAGTTTATTCAATGTAAAAATCATTACATTCAGTTTTTATTTTTACACAACAACCCAGTTTTTTTGGGAACTGGGGTTGTGGATTACACAGATGGTGATTGTTTTGTCGTGCCCAAGGTATCCACGTCCCCTCAGCACCTTCGTGCCTCTCCTCCTCATCGTCACGCAGCAGACGACCTGCCTCCCTGTCTGGAGTCTGGGGCAGATTTTGGGCACCAGATGGGACCTCTCTCTCCCCTCTCCCACTGCGGCTCCTACTTTGACATGGCAGTCCGGTTATGATAATGATCTCTGCCTCCTCTGTTCCTCCTCCCTACGGCGGCCGCCGCGATCGCTCCCACAGGACCCCACCATTCTCCCCCCCTGCGATTCCATCCCCGCCTCCCTCTTTTCAATACATCTCCTCTTTCTCAGTTAATGTTGTTTTCATGCCGGCTCATGTCATGTGTAAGGTGAAGGAGTCAAGGGCTGAATGACTGGATCAGGGGGCCTCCCGGAGAATCAAAAGGATCTGGGGGGGTGGATTTACAGGGCTGAGTCTTACACAGTGCTGGGAAGCCCAGATGAGGCCCGCTGTCAGGCGCGGGTTATATTTATAGTCAGGGCTGAATAGGCTCGGATAGTTCGAGCACTGTACGCTCATTGTGGCAAAGACATTTTTCTTCCTCCTTCACAGCATCCAGCGTCCTGATGTGTTTTTGTAAAGCCTGGACCCGTCCTTAAATCCTTCTCAAGCCGTCATCTCCTAATCAGAGCATTAAGTCGGGTCCGGTGTCAGGCTGAAGAGGGCTAGCGACGGATCAGACACTAACATCTAATCTGTTTGTGGGTTTGAGCGTTAAGAGACTGCTGGGTGTCACAGAGTCAGAACTGCTGACCAGTTGTCTGAACCAACATATGTCGCCGCCGTCCACCCAAAGGGACTTCTTCCAAGTCCTCCCAGAGCGGCTTAGTGCAGGATAAGACTTTCAATCTGCAAACAAGCCTGCTTGCTTTAACAAGCATCCATCACCCAGTGCGCTCATGCACAAACACACACTGGATGTATATGTATGCATGCCCGCGTGTGCTGATGTTGCGCTCTGTTTCCTATAGTTCCCGGTTCGCCAGCTGGCATCAAGGCTGTTCCTTCCTCTCCGAACAGCGTGGTCGTGTCCTGGTTACCTCCTCTCAAACCAAACGGCGTCATCCGCAAGTACACCATCTACTGCTCCAGTCCAGGGTCTGGACAGCCGGTGAGTCTTTCCTCATGTGGCTCATAAACATCTTTCTGCTGCTCCACAAGCAAAGCTGATACAAATCAGCCAAAGGAAATAATTCATTTGTAGCCACTTTTATTAATTGAACCGGATGGTAGATATACGCGCATGTGTGTGTGTGTGTGTGTGTGTGTGTGTGTGTGTGTGTGTGTGTGTGTGTGTGTGTGT